CAGCACCCGCCCTATAAGACGACACCCGGCGTATAAGACGACCCCCGACTTTTGAGAAGATTTTCCTGGGTTAAAAAGTAGTCTTATACGCCAGAAAATACAGTAACATTTTTTTAACCTCAAGTAAACAGAGTTAATTAATGATGTTACAATTAAATACAATTGTGTACTGTATTTTTAAATTATTGGGGTGTGGTTTTAGTGACATAGCAGCACAGATATTTTTCACCTTGACTAGTCAGCTTAGTCCTCATGCCAGTGGGCTTCAGGAAAGTTTTTCACTCCCTGATTAAATGGATCTACAAACTGATCCAACAGTCCCAAAACCATTGGCTTGATGGGACGTCTAAATAAACTAAAATGAGATTGATTTTCAAATGGAAGAATCAATTTCGGTTATTTTTGGTGAGGGACAAGACCTCAAATTACAAATTGTAAACACATTACAAAAAGATAGTTTCCTTTCTTTCCCACCTTATGTTCTATAGTCAATCTCAGTTAGCAGAGCTGTAGAGGGAATGTTTAACAGGATATAATGATAGATTTATTTGAAAAAAATTTACTCACTATTTTTTTCTTTTGGGATTTTAGCTCTTCTAATGCTTCACCTAAAAAACAAGATTTATGTTAGTTTTTAATATTAAAAATGTGATAAATATATTTCAGCATAGATTAATTGAATATGTCTCACTTGTGAGAGCCAAACAATATTTTCATTCACTGGCCCCAAGTAATCCCAGTACGTTAGCAAATCCTTCTTGTGCTTAGTGTATTCTCACATAAGAGTTTTAAATAAGCCACCTAAACCTATTGGCAGTTTCAAGTTTTAATTATAAAACCTTTTAAAGCACCACTTAATTAAACAAACTAGTACAGCACAAGTTCTGTTTGGACCTATATTAAAATTGGTGCAACAATAGCAATGTTTGCTTAAATATGTTGATTCAGTTGACTACAGAAAATCTTTTAGTTTGAATTTTAATACAGCTGTTTGAGTCCCAGATTCACGTGTTTAATACACTTTCTACAGTGCTGTTGTAGCTGTGTTGGTCCTATGATATTAAAGAGACAAGGTTGGTTAATATCTTTTACTGGACCAACTTCTGTTGGTAAGAGGGACAAACTTTCAAGCTTGCCTAGAGCTCTTCTTCAGGTCTGGGAAATGTACTCCGAGTGTCACAGCTGCATACAATAAGGAATTAACATATATTTCAAGGGACCATTCAAGGTGAAGTGGCCCGTTAACAATTCTCCAGTCATGAGGGTTAGGGGTTAGTGTATTACAGATTGTTGTAATAAGCCATAAATCCAGCGTCTCTATTCGGTCCATGATTTTTAGTGTTTAGCAAAGTTTGTCTCTCTCACCGTCTAATATATTTTATTCAAGTCTCATGCATGCTAGTTGCAAATACTAGATCATTTCCAAACTTATCAATGGGATCTATATATTTGATTCTGACAGCATTTCCAAAATATAACAAAATCCCAGTTTTATAAGAGAAGATATGACTACCAGAAGTTCATCTCATTACTACAGAATAGAAGGGACAGTGTTACAGCCAGTAAGCACAACATCTAACCTTTATCTCTAAGAGAGAAAAAATTTAAGTCAAATGCATGTGGGATTTTTCCTGAAAGTCAATACTAGTAGTTCAGTACTTATGGAAAACTCACTGTAATAAGTCAGAATGAATTCCCTGGATACTACCAATTCTCTGCTACCTCCTTTATAGGTGAACAATGCATTCTAACAAGCAAAAAAATATAAAAGGTATTTACAGTTATTTTTCCTCCCTTAGTGTTATTTAACAGCTTGCTCGGTACAGCTCATTTTGTGGGCTCAAAATTTATTTTGCAGCATCAGTTTTTCACAAAGATAGTACATAAGCGAGAAAAGGCTATAGTAAAAAAAAACCTAAAATTATGGAATTACATAACCATTATTTAAGCCATCGGAAATTCATAAAAGAAGAAGACTGGAATAAGGTTACATTATCTATGAATTGTTTCTCAAAATTTAAAAGAGTTTACATTAGTGTTTGTGTTCTCAGACGACATTTCAATTCTTGCTGATTTAGTAGGCTTCTTTCATCAAAGCAAAGATATTTTATTTGTTAATTTATAACATCCACCACAAATGTATTTAATTGGGCACACATACATAATTTAAAACAATTTATACAAAGCGACAGCTATCACCAATCCAGTAACCTCGTCCTCAGAAAAGAGCAATAGGTATGGTGCAAGGCCTAGAAACCCACTGTTGTTGGGCCAGCTGGGAGGAGTAGTTTCCAGAGCCATAGAGCCCCCAAATGATTAAATATTAAGGCAGTTTGCTCACACACTGTGACACTGACAGACTATGGACTGGTATGTGACCCATAACAACTTAACAAGAGGCACTGAATAGTAAACAGGGCCATTCCTTGTAGATAGTTATCAAAGCCATGTTAAGTAGACTTGAATCTTTAACATGTTTGTCTGTATTGCTGGAGAATCAAGAGTAGATACTAACTGTATTTGTCTGTGTTTATCTATATCTTGTTAGAAGTTTAACAATGTGATTTAATTAGTTTGTAGATGCTAAAATCCTGTTCCTTTCTTTTAATGATGTGTTACTGTATTCTACTGAATCAAAGACCAAAGATACAATATATAAGATATTGTAGGAAGTAAACTATTTACTTTGTCTTCAGCTTACACTGTCTATGCCATAATGAACTGCCTTGATAGTTTGAATGGTTAATTGCCCTATATTAATTAATACAAATAGTTACCTATGTATGCATAGGAAGCATAAGATTAGCTTCAAAGCAACAATATACATTACCTAGTCTTCATCAAAGGAAGGCCCTTCTGTGACAATTGCTGTCAAGAGGCTATCAGCCTGCTAAAGAACTATAAAGGAAGCTTTGGGCCTGATCCTTTTTATCTCACATCTGCTTAAACTTTGACAGGGAAAGTCTAAGCCACAAGACCTCCAAGGCCTTCAGGTTTACTCTGGGTTCACCTTGGAATTCTCATAGAAGGAAACTCTGCACCTGGACTGCCTATTGGACTATAACCTTTTACATTGATTTCAGAAAGACTTTTACAAATCAGCATTCTCACCATCTCTGCTATGAAACAAACGTAAGGTTTTTATACACATTTGTATGTATATTAACTATATATAACTCTTTTTTCTTTTAGTAATAAGTCTTAGATCTAGTTAATAAGGATTGGCTGTAAGAATGTATTTGGGTGAGATCTGAAATATTCATTGACCTGGCAGGCAATGTGTCCGCTTTTCTGGAATTGGTAGGACTAAGTATGGTGAATACAGTTTTCAGTAATCTCTCACTATATTAGACTTGGCTGTCTGGATAGGAGCCAAAGGGTGGATTGCTTAAAGGGGGACTGTATTTTGGCTTCTTGGTAACCAGTGTGATATTACAGAAGCTAGTTGGCTACCGGCTTAGTGAATCTAATTATAGAATAAACCACCAGTTTTGGAGATTGTCTGCCCTATTTCTTGCCGTTTGCACTGAGAAAGCATTCTCAATATGACCCCTCCAGGCACCATGGTCACACACACCATTACTGAATTTGACTGCCACAGCAAATTACGAGAGAGAGGCAGCCTCCCAGATAGCCCACACCATTTAAGACTACAGATCAATGACAACAACTCAAACTGCACCCAGAAGCAACATGATGCCAGTACAGTTGAACAACTGGAAGATGTTCCAGTGGTTAATACTATATAACAGACAAGCAGCTACATTCTTCACCAAGTGCAACTTCCCAGTGGTCTTCAACTGCAGCCCCAATGAGCACTGCAGTATTTTTAAAACATAGAATCATAGAACTGGAAGGGACCTCGAGAGGTCATCTAGTCCAGTCCCCTGCACTCAAGGCAGGACTAAGCATTATCTATACCATCCCTGACAGGCATTTGTCCAACCTGCTCTTAAAAATCCTCAATGATGGAGATTCCACAACCTCCCTAGGCAATTTATTCCAGTACTTAACCATTCTGACAGTTACAAAGTTTTTCCTAATGTCCAACCTAAACTGCCGTTGCTGCAATTTAAGCCCATTGTTTCTTGTCCTATCCTCAGAGGTTAATAAGTACAGTTTTCTCCCTCCTCCTTGTAACAACCTTTTATGTACTTGAAAACTGTTATGTCCCCTCTCAGTCTTCTCCAGACTAAACAAACCCCATTTTTTCACTCTTTCCTCATAGGTCATGTTTTCTAAACCTTTAGTCATTTTTGTTGCTCTTCTCTGGACTTTCTCCAATTTGTCCACATCTTTCCTGAAATGTGGTGCCCAGAACTGGACAATACTCCAGTTGAGGCCTAATCAGCGTGGAGTAGAGCAGAAGAATTACTTCTTGTGTCTTGCTTACATACTCCTGCTAATACATCCCAGAATGATGTTTGCTTTTTTTGCAACAGCATTACACTGTTGACTCATATTTAGCTTGTGATCCACTATGACCCCCAGATCCCTTTCCGCAGTACTCCTTCCTAGGCAGTAATTTCTCATTTTCTATGTGTGCAACTGATTGTTCCTTCCTAAGTGGAGTACTTTGCATTTGTCCTTATTGAATTTCATCCTATTGACTTCAGACCATTTCTCCAGATCATTTTGAATTTTAATCCTATCCTCCAAAGCACTTGCAACCCCTCCCAGCTTGGTGTACTCCCTTTGCCATTATCTAAATCATTGATGAAGATATTGAACAGAACTGGACCCAGAACCGATCCCTGTGGGACCCCACTTGTTATGCCCTTCCAGCATGACTGTGAACCACTGATAACTATTCTCTGGGAATGATTTTCCAACCAGTTATGCACCCACCTTATAGTTGCTCCATCTAGGTTGCATTTCCCTAATTTGTTTATGAGAAGGTCATGTGAGACAGTATCAAAAGCCTTACTAAAGTCAAGATATACCACATCTACCACTTCCCCCCTATCCACGAGGCTTGTTACCCTGTCAAAGAAAGCTATCAGGTTGGTTTGACACGATTTGTTCTTGACAAATCCATGCTGTTATTTATCACCTTATTTTCTTCTAGGTGTTTGCAAATTGATTGCTTAATTATTTTCTCTATTATCTTTCCAGGTACGAAAGTTATGCTGACTGGTCTGTAATTTCCCAGGTTGTCCTTATTTCCCTTTTTATAGATGGGCACTATATTTGCCCTTTTCCAGTCTTCTGGAATCTCTCCCTCTTCCATGACTTTTCAAAGATAATTGCTAATGGCTCAGATATCTCCTCAGTCAGCTCCTTGAATATTCTAGGGTGCATGTCATCAGGCCCTGGTGATTTGAAGACATCTAACTTGTCTAAGTAATTTTTGGCTTGTTCTTTCCCTATTTTAGAGACTCTGATCCTACCTCGTTTTCACTGGCATTCACTATGTTAGATGTCCAATCGCCACCAACCTTCTTGGTGAAAACCGAAACAAAGAAGTCATTAAGAACCTCTGCCATTACCACATTTTCTGTTATGGTCGTTCCCCCCTCATTGAGTAATGGGCCTACTCTGTTCTTGGTCTCTCTTGCTTCTAATGTATTTGTACAATGTTTTCTTGCTTTCTTTTATGTCTCTGGCTAGTTTGATCTCGTTTTGTGCCTTGGCTTTTCTAATTTTGTTTTCTAATATAAACAAATATTTTTGTTATTTGTTTATATTCATCCTTTGGAAACTCAGTCAAATTACACTTTTTGTAGGACTCTTTTTTTGAGTTTTAGATCATTGAAGATCTCCTGGTTAAGCCAGGGTCGTCTCTTGCCATACTTCCTATCTTTCCTACGCAGTGGGATAGTTTGCTCTTGTGCCCTTAATAATGTGTCTTTGAAAAACTGCCAACTGTCTTTAATTGTTTTTCCCCTTAGACTTGCTTCCCATGGGATTTTACCTGCATGGGCAATTACAGTGACCCAGGCAATAAAAATTAACAGATTACAAGTGGAAAGGAAAGTGATCCACAAATTAACCTCACGGAGCACCTCCCAGTGGTGGTTAAAATGACCTCCCTGTGGCAATTCCTGGAACTCACTATTAGGAAAGCGTTATATATTTTAGCGCTCAGCTAAATTTAGCAGATGAAAACAACAAGGACTCAGTACCATATAGCCAGTATTTTGGAACCAGTGTTATTTAAATAAAAAAAAATTAAAAAGTCCTAAGGGCTAGACTAGGTCCAGAGCAGAGAAAGCACATCAAACGTCTAACCAAACAGATTAAGAGATACTAGTGACATGGATCCCAGACACCCTAGAAACAGAGGTCTTAAAGTAGTCCCAAATGAGGGACTCTTGAAGGAAGAGTTATCTGCATTCTCCTGACACACATTTTAATAATGGACACTGAAATCCCCCCGACCACATCACCTGAAGATCCAATCTCTCAACCTATTACCATCACCTCTGCCTTAGTCAAGGTAATCTTCAGCCATCCTACTCTCCTCCATGTTCTGTTTTTGGTCAAATGCTGAGAAAGCAAGAAAACCACCACGTGCATCTGATGAAAGTGAGACCGAGCTTCATCAAGCATATGATGGTGGGTCAATTCAACAGTCTCATTATCCGTCCTCCCCCAACAGCCACACACAGAATATCAAGCAGTATGTAAACCATTCACCTTCCCCTGCAAAATATAAATTCCCCCACTACAGCTTGTGGTGAGAGAGAAAGAGACAAGATAAAAGATTGGCCTCCCAGAATAACCCCATCTAGAACAAAAACAGAAACTCCCACCCCACTGTCACTAGGATTAAGTTTAACAGTTGTACTCAGAAGGAAAAGAGTATGGAGGAAGAGAACTCTGAGCTAGTCTGTTTAGTTTTTGGCCAAAATTGTTCAGTTTAAGATTACAACCTAGTGTCCTTTGCCCATTCAAATTCCCACTGCTTTCAGGTAATCCAAGCTCTATTAACAAATAAAATTTGACACTAGCTTTTTAATTAAGGTAGAGAGCTTTGTCCTTCCCATTTCCTGGAATGGTTAGACTTAGTTCATATTGGCATGTTCCAAGCTGCATAAAAATTCCCTCAACACACAGGTTTAACAAAAAGTATTAAGTTAGTCTGTTGAGTTTAAAACTTCTGTAAACTTAAAATATCCAGGCAAACTACACAGATACTGCAGAAAGTGAAAAAAAGTGCAACATATTAGCACAAGACACTGATACACTTTCATCTCTAAAGAAAATAATCCTGGAACACATTGAAAAATAAAGCTATAGGTATATTTATATCTAAAACATTTAAGCAGTGTTGAATCAGAGGAAAGATGCTCAAAAAGTTATGTTGCTTAACTTGGTAAATTACAAGGAGTTTCAAATAACCCAAGTACAACTCTTGAATCTCCTTTGAGTCATAAGACACAGGGCCAAATCTCAATTCTCTTTACATGTTTCGCATACATCAGTAAGGAGTGTTGAAGGCAATCTCGCCTTTAATGAAGAGGTCTCTTCATGAACTCTAAATGATATGGACAGGCCCGCTACCACAAATGCCTGTTTTTAAATTTTGCCTTAGAATTTATCCTTTTATTAGAACTCTGGGCATTCCTTTTGAACATTCTGAATTATTCTCATGCCACCTATCTGTACTACTTTAAAAAAAAAATCAGGAATTCCCATTGCAGTGGATAGGCAGCTCTCAAAATACAACATATTAATACTGCATCAAGAAAATGATGCTTGCCTGTCTCACTTTCCCATTTAGAAGATGCTGCTGCTTTTTAATAGCATACTATTACAGCCATGCTACAAACAACAATGAAGATTGCAGTAGTCTTAGAACTTATTTCATATAAACAGTCTCTGCCCTTACTCATAGCATGAGAAAGTTAAGACAGTCAAAATACTGCCAGAGTACTTGTAGTAACATTTTTGAAGCCCTATATTCAATCGAGCTTATATTCTAGTCAGGGGGCCATATGAGTCTCTCACACAAAATCATAGAGTTTAAGGCCAGAAGGGACCACTAGATCATGTATTCTTATCTCAAAAGTAAATGAAACCCAAAGGAGATTGGACTATTGTATGCCACAGGCCATTTTAGAGATGGGAAGAAAAGAGATTAAGTGACTTTCCAAGGAAGTAAGTGGCAGAAACAGAATTTAAAAGTCTACCAAGTCCCAGTTCTGTGCCTCAACCAAGAAGTCATCATTCCTCTCCTGGAAGTTAATATAAGTACCTGTATACCATTATATTGAGTCTCACTCCTACTAATTAGTTCCACAGCATTTGAAAAAGACTGAAAAGATACTTACTGTTTCTTTCTGTTCTTTTGGAAAAGAAGAAAATGAGCACTGTTCTTATAAACCAGATTCTGCGGGGCGGGAAAAGAAGTTATTTTACTTTAAGACTAATAAAACAACTCAAAATAGTTGAATTTGTAATGGGAAGCTAACTTCACCCTCAATTATGGAGCGACTAGCACTCCTCCAAAACGGTTTACAAGTAGCCTATTCTGAAGGTTTAATAGAAACTCAAGTTTCACAGAACAGCTAGTGTCGAACACTTTCACAAAAGGTGGCATTGTTCCCCTCCAACATTTCTTGCAAATGTTGCAAAGGACACCAACAGAAAAAGTAACATTACTCCTAGGTCACATTTCCCTTGTAACACCTAGTTTTCAAAGTACCAGTAGATTATCTATAATCACTTCCTTCAAGGAAAGCATCCTTAGCAACTATGCAGAAAATAGTGAAAATCTTCACAAATCTATTACAAAGTGGGAAGTTATGAATGATGCGCCAGCATTTCCTCACATCACAGCACTGATTTACATAAAATCAGTCATGTTTCTATTAAAATATAATGAAACAAATTATTACTATGTGAAGAGCTAATGAAGAAGCAGCCACAATGGCAATGTCATATTTCATGGGGAAGTTGTAATATATACCCTCCAAAAGTAAATCAGTAAAACCTATAATAATAAGAATTTTAAAAATAAACGACTGGCACATATTTAGTCACATATTATAATATGTAAGGATTCAAGCAAGGATTGATTTTCATGTAGAAACATTATAAATTCAAGGACTATGCTGCTCAAGTAATCTGCTGCAAACAACTTCATTTGCAGGTTACTGCTTGAAATAGTTATCAGACATATACGAACCTGAGGACTAGACTTACCAGCTATACTCAAAAAACTGAAGATTTGGGAGGTTAATGGGGAGGGGTCGTACCAGAAAGGTCCACAAAAAACCGTTATTGTGCACTTGCTACATTAAATCTTTTTCCAAGCAGAAGAGTAAACTGACATTATTCTTGTCAGAGTCCTGTAAAATTGAATAGCAGCAGTGATGCTGACCCACCTCTTGTCAGTTTTATCCTGCTGCTTCATAAGACTACGAATATTAGCAGAGACAATGGAGCAGTTTATCTGCACTCTTAGGAAAAAAACTGCACTGATTTACATTCATTTTACAGTAGTAAGGTTCTCCTTTCAGGCATAAGGATTAGAAACTATTATTTTAAAAAAATAACTTAAGTGCTACTTAAACTGATGCTTTCAGCCCCTCTTGCTTGTTGTCAGGAAAATCTACCAACTCCCTAGTGGCAAGTAGATTTTCAAGCCTCACTGAGAATTTTATATAAAACCCTGTTTGTCATAGGCACTATATAAAAATCTAAAGGCAGACACAGAATTAAATGAAGCCAATAATAAATATTAGAGGTCTGCACGAGGTTAAAGCAAAGAGTTACCAAAAATCATGTTTAGCATCACAAAGAATAAGCAAAATTCCACATTTTAATGTAACACATTAATATCGCTGTTTGATAAGCACATACTTAGCATTTATATATTACATTATTAAAATGCTTACAACAATTAATAGGCACACAATCCCTGAGAGATAAGTTAGTTAACTACTATCCCAACTTTCCAGATGCAGGTGTCAAGGTATGCAGGTGAAGTGACTGCTGAAGGTCACAGACAACAAATCATTGACAGAGACAGGATTAACAAAGGCATACTATACTGACATTCCGCTTTCAAATTCATGGTTTAATAACTATTTTTAAAATAGCTATAAAGTAGTATAAGGATTGCTGACATATTCCTTATATATCATGTGAGTGGCACCTATTCTCTATAAAGTGATGATACAACGATGCATCGTATGTCTATAGGGTCTTAAATTGTTTTGGAGAGTAGGCTATAAACCCAGAAGCATTATTTCCTTTAACAATTATGTATTTTTTCCCAAGCCAAGTTTCTTTCCCCCAACCCCCACCACCTAGTACTATATGTTGAGCAACCAGATAGTGCTATTAATACTGAAGTTTCCACTCTAAATTCTCTTTTTTAGGACTATAAAATGTCCACTCCAGCTCTTAAATTTAAAAGGTTAAATGAAGAATCTTGTCAATTTAATTATCAGAGAATTAAACTATTTAAAGTTTCAGCTGAAGGAATGAGACAAAATAATTCTGAATGGAAGTAATTGCAGTTTCAAGAAGCGAGGCCTTCTTATGTGCCACTGTTTTTCACAAGTCTTCAGTTATTTAAATGTAGGTATTTCAAAGTTAAACATGCTACATATTCCTAGAACCTAGCTCACTGTACCAGCATCAGTAACATGCTCAGACCTTGCGGGAGCGACGTAACAGTACTGTTATTGAGTGACTGCAAGGTGGGGGAGGCAGACATTTTCCAGTTTGCTTAAGGCAGAAAAATCTCTAGAGTTAGTACTGGATGGCACCAGGCATTCAACATAGGTTCACCTCTTGACTGACAGAGAAGACATGCTGGCAGCTGCTTGCCATTCATACCTGCCAGAGAAAACTGAAGGGGACTGGATTCAGGGGAAAAAAAAAAAATTATATCAGACACATGCTTCCAAGTCATAAGAACCTAAATTTAATTTTAAACATTCATATGCTTGGTGGTTGCCTGACCCAGGATTTCATGGAAGCCTATCATTCAAAAATGAAATGTATACTGAACTTAGAAAACAGGAGAACAAAAGATCCATTAGAAGATCAGACTAGTAGAAAAAGACAGGCCCTTGAATATGGCAATACAGTAACTTCTCACTTAACGTCCTCCCACTTAACGTTGTTTCGAAGTTACGTCGCTGCTCCATTAGGGAACATACTCGTTTAAAGTTGTGCAATGCTCCCTTATAACGTCATTTGGCTGACTTTACAAGAGAGCATTGCACAAGTTCTTCTTCTCCTCCCCCTCCCTTCTTCCCTCCCTCCCAATGCTTAGGACTTTCTGGGAGGAAGGGAGGGGGCTGCCCCTGCTCACAGGTCCGCATTCCGAAAGGGACTTTAGAGCTGCAGGCCAGGGCCCCAGGGCCCTCTTAGCCCAGGGCCCTGCAGCCCCTAAAGCCCCTGCATTCCGGGTGGCCCTGCCTGCCGGGGGGGCAGCTCCCAGAATTGCAGCCATGGGGGGTGGTGCTGCACTGCACAGAGCCACCTGCATACCCGCTGCACCAAACAGGAGCTGCGCCAGGTAAGTGCTCTGCACCTCCTGCCTGCCCCAGCCCTGAGCCTCCTCCCACACCATCTTGAGCGCCCTCCCGCACCCTAACTCCCTCCTAGACCCCGCACCCCACCCTGAGCGCCCTCCCACACCCTACACCCCCAGCCCTGAACCCCAGGGTAAGCCGGGGCACCTCCCCACCACAGTACAGTACTGTACAGTATATAATGCCTTTTGTCTGCCCCAAAAAAATTTCCTTGGAACCTAACCCCCCGCATTTACATTAAATCTTATGGGAAAATTGGATTAGTTTAACATCGTTTCACTTAAAGTTGCATTTTTCAGGAACATAAGTACACCTTTAAGTGAGGAGTTACTGTACTCATTTCTACACTCATTTGCCACATTTGAATATGAGAGAGACACTGGCATAAATAGCAGGCTAGCTAAAAAGCCTGTTTCACAATACTATCATGGAGGGAAAAAAACAAAACCTATTCATTCTCTTTTGTCAAAGCCTACTTGAGCCTTCATTTAGGGATCAGTTCAGTCAGTGGATTGCTGTACATGTATATTGGTCTACATGTTTTATTTCATGAAATGCATGTCCATTTTCAAGTGAACATCAATATTGTATAGCAACTTAGTACGTATTATGAATAGCAAGATTACTACATGTGCAAAAAGCATTTTAAAAGACTTTTGCATGTAGTTTTGCTGTCCATAGTCTGCACAAATCAGTTGTGCTATAATATCTGTATTAAAGCCCCAAAAGGCTAAACAGACTTCATGCCTCTCTGCTCCCACACAAAGGTGATCCAAGGTGAAAATCCTGTCAAGCCTAAGTTCCAGCAGGGGTAAAATTTGAAACTAAACTCAAAAATTTGAAAACAAGACACTTAACAAGCAAAGTAATCAGCTCAAACAAATAGAACTAAAATAAACTTAGCAGCCATTTTTCCTACTGTATATTCAAAGAGTTAACAGCATTCTACGATAAGAAAAAACTGTCAAAAATACTCCAGTAGAACAGCTCCTCATGTCAGACTCATGCACGTTAAAGGGACACCATCAACTTTTAAAAAAAAATATCAATTCAACTTGAACATTCACATAGTTTTGCTAGTTGCACCTAAAATGAACTTAAACTGAAAAATTAGAACATTTTTCTTTTCCAGTTTTAGTTTCCAGCATTCCGACTACCTACAAAGTATTTTGTTTGTGCAACTGTTTCAGACAATGGGGTGAGAAAATTCTGTTAAAATCTAAAAGATAATAAAGCCATAAAAATGGTCCAGGAATTTTAGGAGTAGCTGTAGTACCCTAATAATTTAAATATTTTTAAAAGGACTAGATTTTGAGTTGATGATATCCCTTTAAAAACCTCAGGAGTATAACTTATCTTCAACCAAACTGTAAACTGATTTTAAAGCTGTTCAGATTTACATAACCCTACTGAGTATCATTCTGATAAGCTAAGCATCTTCAGATGTTGACACTTTTTGAACAGAAAAATCTTTCCACTCCAAACCCAGACCCAGCAGAGACATTTCCCTCAAAAACATAAAAAAAAAGCATGTGCCTAACTACTCAGATCTATTTTACAGGGAAAATCCAGCAAGTTGTGATAACTCAAGGGTTGTCAAAAACAAATTCAGGCCCCTGCTGAGATTCACTTTCCACTTCCTTTCAACAAAGAGACAGCAGTTAGGAAAAAGGCATATTTTACTTACATCAATGGAAATGCAAAAAATGGAAGCATCATAATCAGCCTTGCTGTCCATTCATCAGGAAGATACCACAAATATACAATTAAACAAGTAATAAGATAAAGAACTGATGAGTAGAGAAGTAGTCTTCCAACCCATAGCTTCTGTAGCCTCTGATTTTTTTCTCTAAATTCTTCTAATGCTTGGATTTCCTGTAAATAAAGGATTTTTAAGTGACTAGTGGCTGAAGTTAACTGATGCTTTATTAGGTTTGTTGAAGTTGAGCATTTCAGTATGAGATTTGAAAACATTACAAAAGCAATCAGGCTTTCTGTACTTGACACTGTTTGTCCAACAGATCTAACAGTTTTCATAGCATGAACTACACCTTAATACATTGGTTGTGGCATGGACCAATTGCCCTTCATTCATGAGCAGATAACATTCCTTGGGCAACTACAGGAACCCAAGAGTGATATTAAGAATATATAAAAAACAACAAGGAGTCTGGTGGCACCTTAAAGTCTAACAGATTTATT